AAAGGTAAAATTTTAAGGACTAGTGACGGAAGGAAAATAGAGTTTACCAAAGTGTCTTTTTTGTGCTGTCAGATGCCAATACCTTGCCTCACATTTGTACTGGAATTTTCATGGTATATCCGTCGGCTGGTTACAACACAGTTCTCTTCAAGTACCTGAACTGTGTGTGTGTGTGCCAGGGTTGAGAATAACAGAAATGAGGAGATCAAAAGATGTGGAGATAGACGTCGAGGTATCAGAGGATCATGCCCCCTTTAATGTTTGTACTCAAGGTGCACAATGTATACTGAGTAGGTAGTTAAAATATCAAATATCCTGATAAGTCTCAAAGATGAAAGGGGATATTCCACTCCCCTCCCCTTATATCAAGTGTTCAGCCATTAGAATGCTCGTGGGTAACATGAGGCAATTGACATGACCTTGACATAGAAGATGGTCTAGATCTTAATGTCCTCCATATCATTTGAAGCATTTGAAGTGGAAAATTTCGATGTGCTGGAATTCGAAGCATCTCCTCTAAAGTGCTAGACAATTGTTTTTTTCTTTTCCCTAATTAACTCTGTTTGGTTTTTAGTAGTGTTGGACTTTTGTGCTGTTAGGGCACTTTAGCGCCTTGTATAACCCATCATCATAATGACTTTGGAGTGAAGGATTATATCTATGTCACTATAAGAAAGCCCATTTAAATACAACATATAAACTAATTTGAAGAGAAAAAAAGAACCTCTAGAAATAGCAAAACAGAAAAATTTGAGAACAGCCGATGTGGTGAGGACTTCCTGATTCGCTGGCTCCAGTTTCTTGCATTCGCCAAATTAATGATTATCAGTACAAAAAAATCACTCGGACAGCGTGTCTGAAACAAAGGCGAATCCGAACTAACACCTGATAAACAACTTGCAGCTCCATCTAAGGATAAAATTTTACTCACATCATTGTTAGGTAGGTGAAAATGTGCCTTGACACCGAAGGACCTGAGAAGATGAACTACTGGAAAGTCAGGAAGAAGAGATGCGTTCATTGTCGTTGATATCATGTTTGTTTCCAATTTCTGAATCGGTGACTCCTGGACTGCTGGAGTTGTGGTCAAACGATGGGCAAAACCCAGTTGTGAAATCAAGGTAAGCATCGCTATTTGAATCATGGATAGGAATCTATTGAAACGACTTATTGCAAGAATTAAATCGACACCAACATCAACCTGAATTTGGACACTTTCAAACTTCAGCCATGCAAATCTGATAAGTCTTGGTAAGAGGTCTCCACAACCAACGATACGCTGCCTGTAAGTCTTCAGTCGAATTCGAAGTTGAAGTCACACGAGAAGCAGTTGGGAAAGGGGGCGATGTTAAGAAGAAAATTAAAGGAATCAAATTATTAAAAATTGTTTTCCCATGTAGATAATAATATTTAATTATATTTTTTCCTTCTCCTGTAACATTGAAAATAACGTTTAATTAATTAGTTGTTTATGTAAAGTAAGGAAGAAAGTTGCACATTGCAAAAGCTTTTTTTCGATGCAATTGAATATCGTCATGGAACGTTTCGGCTACCTTAAATTTCTTATCGATTTCCTCTCTTCAAGTATTTCGCTGATATTTCGGGATCGTCAGTTAGAATTACATTTCTTACCCACAAATCCATAGGCTGTTCATTACCCCCCCCCCAATCCTAGTCTAGTTGGTAGAAATTAATCAATTTCGCAAAGTGAGTTAAAATTGCTTTTTTTAGAAATTGATTAACTGTAGTCTCCACCTTTCACCAGCCCTTACCTCCAATTAGGTTTGTGCAGTATCCATCAAAATATCGCTTTTTTAAAGCTTGTGCATACAGCACAGAGTATTTTTTGAAAACATTAAATTAAATTAAATTTCCACGCCACCTGTAATGAGTATATATATGTGCAATATGGTGGTGAATGAGAGGAGGACATCTTTGGGTCACGGGGTGACGAGGTGGGTAATTATTACCACTTTGGGTAATGAACGACCAGAACTAAAGAAACCCAAGCATTTATTGGTTTGATTTGTGCAATTCTGTGCATTCTGGCTCGCATCAACTTGTCAATGGAGGTGGTAGTGGTAATGATGATGATGATGATGACGATGGTGATGGTGAAATGAATCCAATCCGCCTTAGATCTTGTCAAACGCATAAGAACGAATTCTGGAAGTAAATGGTTACAGAAGGAAGTGTATGCAATGAACCTCTAGCCACTTGTAATTTCCCAACTGTTGTTTTTTAAATCCTAGAATATAATTTTCCCTCACCTCTGTTTAAAGTATGAATTTGAAGCTGAATTGATGACTTTCAGGACTTTAGACAACCCCCCCCCCCTCCCAATCTACTCATCACTGACTCCCAAGAAATTATTGCTCAATTATCTGTTAGGTTAATGCCTTGTATCGTATATGAGTTATTTCCTATATTTATAGACAGGTTAACTTAACTTCCTTGTTCTCCCACTGAAAGCTTGGAGGTACTAGATCCCTGAAAGATGACTGAAGTCGCGCCGTATTCATAAGGATCTTCATTATTTAGGAGATGGAAGATTCCTTTTCCCCCTTTAAGAGCTTCATATGCCTCCACAACATAGCACAGTTTCCATTTGGTTGAAGTCTACCAGTTGAAGAAGGGGACAAACAGTGAGAGTTGCTAATTCATTTTGATGACCTATCATTTCCCATAGCCCTACTAAAGCTGCAAACATTAGCATTGGAGGGGTGCGCAATAGACTTACCTCCACGTGGTGCCCCCTGGGCAACGTGTAATTACACGGCAAAAAAGTCTATTGATCGGCAGTTGACTTCCGACTTCAAATTTCTATGGCCCTACTATTTTTCATATTCGACCCCTTCCACAGTACTCATCTTACCTTTTTTATGTCATTGTGTCTGCCTGTCTGTCTCTTTTACCTCTGTGAATCATTATTCTGTCTCCCATCTCGACTTTTTGTCGAAGCCCCGAAGTCAGCTAATGATAACTATCAAAACGCCTGCCATCTGATATAAATAAACAAATATAAATACATTAGCATTGGATGGCTGTTTTCGGGGGAAAAATGAAATCGAACCTTCATTTGGGTCTTCTAATTCACTAGGTAATGGAAGAAAGTGTGCATCGAAGAGTCGCACAACTTTACAAGATCTGCAGTAGCCGTGAATACCGGCCCATTGGCCTGCTCCTTCCATGCGGTGCTCTTGACTGGTGGTATTCTCATTCAGAAAGGCTGTTCCCGGCTCCTAGCTTTAGGGCGATTGTGAAGGGACATTCTGCATAGCTTGACCAGACTTCTAACGCAGTTTAACTATCGAAGTATGATTTATATCCGCCGGCATCTTTTCAGCCGATAAGCAATTAGTGTTTGAGACTTCACGCGGGCTTAGGGATGGCGATCTTCCTTTATCATATGCTCAGAACAAGCGAAAAGAACGCCCTGTTACTGCTCTACTTTTGAGTCAGCATTTATCATAACACCAACCCCGCTCCATTGCCTTAAACTCACCATAAAACTCACTGACTGTGTGGTAATGATTTTTTCAACCTAGCATAACCGTGACTAATTAGTTGGATGAACTAGTGAGTGATTGAGGCCACCCCAAATGCGTCATCTAACCTAAGTAAGCAAGGTAATGTCATAAACTGCTATTAGGGGGTAGGGGAGAAGATTTGGCTCTATAAACACTTTCACCAGAGTGCTGTAGTAAAAAATATGCTGCCACCACCATGTCCTCCCCCCCGCCCCCCAACACCCACCCACCCCATCTCCCCTTACCTATCACGCACTGCTAACGCAATAAAGTATCGCAACCTGAGCCCCTACCCCCCCCCCCATCCACCCCTTAGTGGGATCTCTGTCACCTGCATATTTCGAGCTGATGCAAACAGAAGTTTTGCACGCAGGTGGTTTATGTAGAAAAGATGGGCAGGTTCAGGAGTCTCCTCGTTTATTTACAAAATTGACAAAACAGAGGTATCGAAAGGGGAAGCGAGATAGGTGGAGCTTTGGTGTTTGGGGGCTTACTCCTCGGAGTGTCATTGAAACATTATCAATTCATCTTTATTACTTTAAGAATGTACTACAGACTACATAGCATGTGATTGTTGTCCATTAATATAACGGAGGTTGGTAAAATGTCAACTAGGTAAACCAGTCCGTTCTGGACGCAAGAATAAGTGAGTATGATTGTGTGCTTGTGTAGTACCAATAATTGTTGTTATAGAGCTAGTGCAATCATTCCCATTTTGTTCAAATAAAATTGAGAGAATGAATAAAAACCCTCCCCTTTTTATTCGGTAGAATGACAAGCATTGACGTCGATGTTGCTTCAACGAACAAAGAGCAAAAAAGACGTCGGTTTGTTTGTGAACCCAAGCCCTCATTTCTGTCAATCATTTTGGTTGAAAACTTTTATCCTCTTTAATCTAGCAAATATCTTTATCTTGTTTTTATTTTTTTCATCTCCAACAGTCCATTTGGATAATAAAGCTTAGTTAGACAGATAACTCCCACTCATAAGTCTTAATTTAACTACTTGACCTCAACATGCTCAGACTAGGAAAGCGGATTTCAAAAAAACACAATTGACAATAAAAACGACCTGAAATAAAGACCCCCACCCCACCCAACCCGCACTACTACAACAATCACACATTAGCGTAATATAGATCGACCTTGTAACCCACCTTCCCTCGCATCCACTTCTCAACTGAATTGCTGTATTAGTGTGACCCCATATCTGCTTTATTTACAAATACACGCGGACACGCAAGGTCATGGCGTGGCCGTAATTTGCCATAGCGAAATAAACCCTCTAATGGCTTTCCCCCTCCCTCTTCAAGTAGGCAGTGGCCAATCGGATGCTCGCGTGTCCGTCTCACTTCGGAAGCGTGTAACGTAAGCGCTCATCACGCCTGTCCGTGCCACTAAGTCCATGCATGCAGTTACAATCGTAGCTTCCACCACGTCATAAACAGTAGCTAGTCATCGGCGTCTCAGTATGGGTGAGCTAACAGGACCTTCCAGTACTGATTCTCCACGCAGTAGTCCGCACAGTAGTCCACATAGCCCTTCTTCAATCATTCCACAAGTTTCCTCAGCATTTCTCTACAATTCCATGATTTCGGCAACACACGCCAACGGTAAACTTTCACAATCGCCCCCTCCTCCAAACTTAATGGAAGATGATGAAATGGACAGCTGTAGTACAACTTTCTATCGGTCTAGCACTGGGGAGACTCGCAAGGCGCGAGAATTCATTCCTGATAGCAAGAAAGATGAGAAGTATTGGGAGAGGCGGAGGAAGAATAATGAGGCTGCAAAGCGGTCGAGAGAGAAGAGACGACAAAATGATGCAATGATGGAGCATGAGATTGCAGAATTGAAACAGCAGAATGAAATCCTAATGAGAGAGAATTGTGCCCTTCTAAGGGAAATTGCTTCTTTGAAGGGAAAAGATCCAGCATGTGTGGAGACACCCACTCCACCTATTCAACAAATTCCATCTTCCGCGAATGGTGTCATTTCAACACTGGATCTCATCGGCTTGCAACGACTCCTAACAACATTCTCGAATAATTCTGCAAATGGAATAACACCTTTACCGGCGATGGTGGATCACTCCGTTGTCAATGGTTCCGGTTTGGATGAGACTCCGTTAGATTTGTCCGGTGGGAAGATTCCAATGATGGTGAAGCAGAGTTGTCTTCCATCCCCAGACTCCCAATCGGTAGGCAATGTTAATCAAAGTAAGTTACACGACTGTTACACTTTGTGGATGGCATACTATTTCTGTTTCTATTTGCGTGAAAGAAGCTTTTACTATACCGATAGTTGCGTCATGTATTAAACTTAAAATTTACTTATATCAAATGGCACAGAGGGGAGGAACATCAAGTCATAAATAGCCAAGAGGAGGAAGAGAAGATTGATTCACGAATATAAGAAACAGACACAAAGGTAGGGAAAAGGTAAGGTGAGTACTATGAAAGTGGCTGTGGTCATGGTAGTTTGAAGTCAGAAGTCAGCCTCTGGTTTATGATTTTTTTTTCTCCGTATTTGTATACGTTGTCCAGTTGCACCACGTGGAGGCAAGTCTATTGGACACGCCTAAGATTATCCAGATTGAATTGAATGGATCTGTTACATTCGCGGAGTTGGAAACTGGTGGGGTTCGAAAGTTGAAATTGCGTAAGAGGGGAAGCATTTTGGAATCGATTTCATAAGAGACTCGCTTCCTACCAGCCATCTTGTTGACAAAGATTAATTAGAGTGATTGGCTGTATACACACTGAGTTGTATCGATGTTCGTTGATTTCGCTTCTCCGTGGGTCTTATTTTGCCATACGACTTCTCGTCTCTTCAATCGAAGTACCCGTTTTCTCAAGGGGACATTTTAGCTCATTTTACATGCAAATATGTGTGCTATATAGGCATATTTTAGTATTACTTATGAGAACATTAAATGCTCGAAATTGTTGATGCTGTTTTTTATTAGAGTTAATCCATTTAGAGTATGTTTGTTGGTTCACCGTAATGGCTCATCCCACGCCTCAACAATGCCTCGTTTTTTAGTCTTGACTCTTGTGAGGTAAGTTAGTAGTAGGTGACTTCAGCATTATCCCATGTTTCCCGTTTTTGAAATTGTTTCCCACTGGATAGTTAGTAGTGAGGCGCGGGTTCAAGTGTGTGGATTTGGGTCGTGTATTGTCCCACTCGGTTCAAACATGTATTGGCACTCAATATCAATGTAAGGATAATTTAACCACCAATATAATTAGGGTTGTAACAATAAAGCATATGTGTACACCGCAAATATCCCTTAGACCTTTTTGGAGTAAAGAATTTTGATTAGTTCGCTTTATAAACTTACAGAATTTGTGTCCAGTATGGTCAATATTCAAACAGACTTTATGTAACAGCAATTTATCAATTTTTTTGCACCTATATTCAGGATTTATGTTACCCATCCTTTTTCATTAATTACTAATCAAATAGTTGTCTACAGTGCTTAGCCATTTAATTCCCAACCCCCGAGGTCTTCTTAATTCATATTCTCACTAATCTAACAATTTAAGTTGACAATTTAGAATCACCGATGCGGATTTTACTTATTTATTTTACAGGGGTTATGATTAGAATTTTTCTGGAGTCACGTCTCAACAGAGATCAAAATTTTAAAAGTAATGATGCTTTGGATTCTCCAGGGCACCACCTTCCTAATTTAATTAAATACGTCTAGCTCTAATAATGCAGGTTTTGAATTAACTCAAAATGCGGGCGCTTTCGTAACGCTTTTAAGCGCGCAGAGTCAATTTACTCAGCGCTTTGCATTTACAGGGTGACTAATTTTCAGCCCACTGTCCCCCTCCTCCTACCAAGATGATTTAAATCGAAGTACATTGAGCAGTACGCATATATATGTATTACCTCCAAAATCGATGTCTGACTTTTGAACCACAAATGGGTATATTAGTCTAGTGTTATCAAATTGCTTATCTTAAAATAAGGCGAATATTTAGCCCTTTGAGTAAAATGAGGAGGGCGGGGTGGGAGTGGTGATGTTTCATCAATTCGCAGTCAGACAATCTCTTAGCCCATTTCAATCACTGGATGTTTGGCAATGATTTTGCCTGGCATATGTGGCTGTTAAATAGTGATGCTGACTTTTTAGGCTCTTTTTGATTCATGGCGAAGAACTCCTCATTTGTTTATCAGTCACCTACTACTACTACTACTTCTGTATCTCACAGATGTTGTTCAAGCATTTAGATTCAAACTCCCTCCTCTAACCACCTCAATTATTGGTCATTTCATTCACATAGATGGGCTCTCAATCTTTTTAATGTTGCAGTAGTGGGGGTAATGCAATTTACACGATGTGAAGCATGCGCCTGAGTGCGCGTGTAGTGGATTACGCGATGCGCGTGATTGGTAGAAAGTTATGCGGCCGGGTAGGGGGAGGGGGTGTGGGCAATGAGTAATACTCTTTCTTTCTTATTGGCCTGTTGCAGCGAGGCTAGGCTACCGTGAATTCTGAGAATGGTCTTGGAGTGCATATTAGGTGCAATGATAGGTATTTAAAGCATGCTTTTCAAACGGTATCTAATACTGACGAAACAGGCTATTTAATAGAATTTGTGGTAGTCAAGTTGAAGCTAGTAAAGAGTATCAGTGAACGTTTAATAGTGGTGAAATAGCTGAACAGAGGAAGGAAAGAATAAAATAATTTTCAATCCGAGGTAAAAGTGGAGGAATTTAAAGCATTCGCATCATCTAAGAAAATTTGATCATCGAATTAAATTGGAAATTTCAATTTTCTAGAGTCCTTTCCCATCAAATTTTCTGCTCTCGCTTGATCGGTTCTATTACAAGTAAAAAATAGTGGGTTTGATGGCATTGAGCAGGCAGATGGCGTTCTTTGCATTCTATTTGTATTAGCCATTGTTTAGTTGGGAATATTGATAACATTCCACTGGGATGAATACCTTACCAGAATCTTAAAACTGGATTATGTGCAGAGGCCTGAAGAAATCGTTGTTGCTCCACGGCCCACGTTCAATTTCAGTCTAAAACGTCTTAATTAAAGCGAATTATGTGTAGCTTCTTTTTGAGATACGATTTAATCAATTCTTAAATAATGATCGGTTCATCATGAATACTAGTACCTGATAACTCCGCTTCAATTACAATACCAGATTTTGAACCTGAAAGTTGTATACAGACAAATGCAGTGGGCACTTGCTTGTCAGGTTAGGCGTAGGGGACAGCAGTTAAGATGACAGTAGTTATTGTTTAATAAAGTAATGACGCACCATAGTCAGAAATTGGTCGTTGTTATAGTAACGTCGGTACATGCTGATTCATACGCTTGTATCGCAGACGCAGTAACAACAGTTGATATTTCACAACTCAGACAATGAATCACTTCCTTTTGCTTTGCGTTTCTCCCAGTTGCTTTTTTATATGCGTGACTACTCCCTGTGACTCCTAGTTCCACCTCTTAATCAAATGATATTAGTCGTTGGTAAAATTGCTTCCCGAATTATGATTCACCAATGAGATTACAGTGCGTTACGCATGACATTTGTTACATAATCAGTGAACCAATCAGGTTTGTGGTCGTGTTACGCATTATAATTGAGCCAATGATTGGTTAACACATTCGCATCTCAACTAAGTTCGCCAATTAACCAATCGTAGGACACTTCATAAATGTAATGAGGTTTGGTGAGTGTGGTTATCTAATTACGTGGCAATATGAATATCAATGACTGAACTTTTCCTCATTTTCTGCTTTTTAAAAGAACATATTTTGTCAAACCGATCACCAAAACGTATAGCTCTCTAGTGATTGGATATCACTTTCCTATCTCTATAGCCTTCACATTTCTGTATTATATAATAATGTAGACATTGAATTCTTCTGTACCAACAAAGAATGTTTTCGTTCAATTTAAACATTGTGATTCCTTAAAGCGTTTAAGTGAATTCCATTCTTCTTACTATTGATACGAGAAGTGAACATCAAGCATTCAAAAGTGTAATTTTCCCTTTCACTCTCTTTCTCACGTTCGAGTCACGCTTTAACTTCAAAGTGCTTGCAACTTCTACTGCTGACTAAGAGTCAGTGTAAAAAAGTCTTGTAGAGGGAGGGAGAGAGTGTGTGTCAGCGAGAACTCTTCCTATTGGTCGGGTTGCTGAGCGGCACGCGTTACGGTATCCCCGAGTCATCATTGCTTGTACACTTCCCGTGCTGTTGTCTAACTTCGTTCCCTCCTTTTTGTGGAGGGTAGAGTGGGGATGAGTGTTACTCATTCACTGTATCCCCCCCCCCTCCTCCCTCACTCCCCATTCCTCGTTTCCTCCTCCTCCTCATCATCATGATGATTGTGACGATGACGCTACTGTATATGTGTGGATTTTGTCGTGATGAGTAATATTATGGGCGGATACCGCGCGATGTTTCGCGCTTACACATATTTCTAATGGCCTGGACCAAAGGTCCAACTGCTGCCCCACTTCTGACTAACAAGGTAACCAACTTTGTTTACTGCATTTTGGTGGAAGCTATGCCATTGGGTCATTAAGTGTGCATTGCGGTCTTGCTAAGCGAAGAGGGTACATGCTTTGGAAAACAACCCTTTCTTCAGCGATATTATTGCTCAATAGTTATTTACTTAAGCACTTGCTAAGTTTGAAATACCCTTTATTCATGGGGCCCTGTTATTATGGCTCATTGGTAGACATCTTAGTTTTCATAATCGAGTTTTTTTACCAAGAAGTTGGTTGCAATTGTCCCAGAGCAGTAAAGGATGAGTATGTTTGTGGAGAGTGAAGTCCAAGTGAATGAAAGTTGAGGTGGGGTAGTCCCCTTCTTGTTCTTTGTAATTTTCATATAGTTAACATCATTAGTAGACAATTGAAGAAAACCATTTTGGTGTCAATTAATGATTAGCAATCCATGAACCAAAAATCTAATGTGCTTAATAGTAAAACCCATAGGTAAATGTTTGTTTCATCTCGAAATTTGTACAAAAACGTCATATTTTTGTAAGCCTTCAAGAAGTAGACAAAGACTAACTCGAGTGCTGATGTTGACTGACTGACACATGGCTGCCATGACATTCAGGTTAACTTCCTTCCTTCCTGGACTGCCATGCCAGTCGCGTCATCATTGCCAAGCATGTCCTTCATTGGTATTGCATGAATGAATTCATCTGTGTTTACATTTTGGCTGATTCTCAAACCTCTTCAAGAAATGTTAGCATTTTCTTAGTCTGACGTGTATGTGGAGGCTATTTTACCTCTTCATATCCCCTCCGTCACCATGACTCACATCCTTGCAGTAGCAGTAGCAGCTGGTCCAACTTTTTATCCAATAGCTCTCCCCCACTGCATGTACATCCGAGTGATAATCTCATTTTGCTTACAGTTTGCAGGCTGCACTTAATAACAATAAAAGCAATTGTTTTGGAGGGAGTATACTTCACTTCATCTAACGTATTGTATTGACGTTAGAATTGTCCTAGTTCTAGCGCCGTTTGTTAACACTAAATGTGTAATAATAATAATAATAATGGTCAAGGTTACTAATTCATAAGAAACCCTCTTAATCATTTTTTTTTAAATATTTGATCTTGTTTAATTTGCGCAGTCATCTATTTTACTTTATTTTCTAAAATTCATAATTATTTTCCATTTGACAGTTGGAAAACTTACTGAACTGGCGGTTCTCACATCAACTTCACCGCAGATAACAGCAGACGGCAGCTATAGTACAAATCGTCCTCAATCAGTCAGCTGGAACTCAACCCCGAATCCTATTACTCCACCGGCTTGCAATGGTCTTCAAGCTCTTATTTCCGCTGCTGCTCTAACTGCGTCTCCACTGATGGGTGAGACTAATTGCAATATTGTGACCAATGTCGGTCATACTACAAATCCAGGCGCAGCAAAACCAACCTGGGATATCCATCAAGCATCACCTTGCCTCCCCTTGGGTTTCCAACCATTGCCACAGCAGAAGATGGAAGCTTCTAGCGATTTGGCCCCCAGGAGGAGGAATGGTAGCATTCGGTCTCCTTCTAGTCAATACGACGATGAACGATATAGAGAACGTAGACGTAAGAACAATGAGGCAGTTCGAAGATGCCGCGAAAACAAGAGGGCGCGCCTTTCAATGCGCGATGAAGTCACCGGTCGTCTCCAGTCGGATAACATTCTTCTACGCTCCAAGCTTGATGGCCTTAATTCTGAAGTAAGAGCCTTGCGTCACCTTCTGCTGGCTGGACAGCAGCAGGTAAGAGTTGACTAAAGTCCCTACTTATATTATTTGAGTAGAGAGGAATAAACAATGTTTGGTTTCTCTATAGGCCAATGGTCAACAAGTTGTAAATGAAGAACAGCCTCAAGTAGAAAACAGTGTAGAGTGCCAAATTACCACCACCGAGCCACAGCAGATTCAACCCGATGAAGAGAAGCCTCAGCTGAAGTATGCTCTTCCCAAAAAAGGCATTCCACGTGTCCCTACCAACGCCAGTGTCCCTATCAATCATCTATCCTCTCTCAAACGCCGAATAACTCTTCCACCAACCTTCAATCCCCTCGCGTCTATTCAATTTGAAGGGGCTAGTGGTATTACAAATTGATTGATCGTTTGCTTATCAGTTTTCACGCATTTTGAATTGGTTTTTTTCACATGATACCCCCCCCCCCCCCCACCCACACCCAAGCCATGTCACCCAACCTGCGCGCTCAAACCCACTTTTCTAAACTTTTACTACTTATGCTATTGTAATATCATGAATGCCACTTTTTATTCCACTTTACACTTTTGCACTTCCATATTTGTATGAAATGATATCTTGGTGACAGCGATTAACATTGTTTCCTTTTTGCTAATTACGACGAACATTTTGTTAACTAGAGGGTTAGTAGGTAATGACTCTGCATTTATACATGGTTTAGTTAGCATTTTGTTAAAAATCTGCTTCCATTCCCTCCTTCCTCCCACTCCCAACCCTTGTCACCTCTTCTTTATCATTTTGCTTTTGTTGAAAATGTGGTGTGTGCTTGTGTGTCTGTACTGACTTAGTTCTCTTCCAATTTATATCACGAATAAACTTTGTATATTTATTAATTATGCGCAATTTTTAATTTGAAATGAATGGCATTACTGGGGCATTCGACCATTGGGAAATGATGTAAAGTAAAATTGAAGTACTCTCCAGCCAAGTATGAAATGAGGAATTGATCATTGGGGGGACCCCATTTTTGTACCCTTGCGGATAACTGTGAACGGTGCGTCTCTATTTGGTATAGGTAGAGCACTTCGGGTACTTGATGGGTGTTGACTGAACTCTTGGAAAGAAATACAGGGTAGGAGAGATAAAAGTCAAGCTCATCTGGGACAGGGTTGTATCGAAAATTGATGAAGTTTATGATCTATTTATGTCGTCTATATCGGGTTTATCCTGACGGTGATTAACCGGAGAAGATTTCTTTGGTCATCGGTGGTAGTTAACCTTGTCGCCTTGTGACCTACCATGGTAATTGCATGTCCAGGGCTTGGTTGAATATTTATTCGCCTTCCTGCCATTCTCTAACCCAGAACAGAGACATGCGAATGAAAACATGGTGGTAGGTGACGGAAATAAGTAGTAATAGCCGAAATATAGAAGATGCATTAGTTGAACTCAACTCACTCACGCAGTGTCTTTGGCAGAAATATTCATTTATTTATATCAACTGGCAAACTTAATGATGGTTACAGAGAGAGGTTACTCTGGCTTCACAGAGAGTAGGAACATCAAGTCACAAATAGTTAAGAGGAGGAACAGAAGAATGATTCGCAGAATATAAGAGACAGACACAAAGATTGAGAAAAGGCAAGATAAATATCGTGGAAGTGATGGTCGTAGTAGTTTAAAGTCAGAAGTCAACTGCTGATTGATAGACATCTTTGCCGTATGAGTATACGTTGTCCAGGGTGCATCACATGGAGACAGGTCTATCGCGCACACCGATTTTGGCTGAAATATTGATGAGAAAAATCAATTCACTAGCATCACTGCCACACGGAATTACTAGTTTCTTCCTCCATTAACAAAACGATGAATTACTTTAACCCTTTAGCGCCCGAATTATTTTTTGAAAAATGTACCCAACCACATTAGCGCATGTCTCACAACAGACCGATGCCTCGACGCGAAGAGTTTAGGTGGTGTATCAGGCGAAGTCTATAGACTTATTGAACATGTTTCAAATGGCAATAGTGTCTTCTGTTACGAATTTTATTTTGAAAGGGGTTGTTGTCATCCATTTGTGTTAGGTAAATATTGCCCTGTGTGATCTTACGACGAGGTAGGTGCCGTCTTATCTGTCTAGAGATGTGAAATGACTAATACATATCTTCATTAAGCCGAAGGGATTAAATAATCTACAGTTAATTTAGATTTCTTTTTCGAAAATAAATCGAGATATCTGGTATCTGAAAATTAATAAATAAATACTGTTATGAAATGTAGATCTACACATATCCGTTTATTTGACAAGGATTTTCAAATCACCTCAAATAACAGTTTTGTTCACCTGCTTTAAGTAGAGATTTTCATGACTCTTCTCTCTCTATCATTTATGGGTTCCTGTATTTGTTGTTTATACTTCTAGAAGGAGATCGATCTACAGCACTGTTCGAATAGAGCTTGACTAACAAATACTACAACAATAGCGTAGCAAAAGAAAAATATTAAATCAGTCGCTTGAAGATGAATCAAAGCCTTGAGATAATTTATTTCCGTCGGGACGTAAAAAGCAATAAGGGTGCTAATATTAATAGGAGGGGATTTTGTTCGTGGAGGGATGGATGATTGATAAAATCGTGGATTTGTTGTAGGTTTGACATAGAGCGAACAACTACTGCATTTTATTTAGGGAAATCGTAAAAAAGTGTGATGATCTTTGAGATACACTGAGCAATCCTTCTAGAAATTCATTATAAATGGCCATTTCAATAATATAACAACGTAAAGGTAGAAATATTTACCTAATACAAAATTCTGAAATATTCGTAAATATCTAAATAAATGAAAAGCGATATTCGAAAATATTGTTATTAGTTATTCTAAATTAGTGTTAATTTCAAATTGCATAATATGCTTTGAAGTAGTTTTCCGTTAGCGAATTCAGATCAAAATATAATTCTCAAATAACTATAAATTAAATATCTAATTTTAATTGAATTTTTCCATTTTTAATGAGTTTATATACTCATTTCGGTTAGTGTACTCTATTACCTAACCTATGTAATGCGAATAGATGGTAAAGCACTAATTTTGGACGCTTTCAATTCGTGGAATGACAACCACAATGGTTACGCGTGTCGGATAGAGAGATTGCTAGAATTTCATTTTATAACTCCCATAATCCAGGATAAGCAGTTGAGAATGATGTTCTAAGTAGCTTTTATTAATATTACATGCTAATTAGATTAATAGTTTGAAAATATTCAATTACTACAGTAAATTATTTCTCAATGCTAAAGAAAAAGTCTGGAGCCGACGGAAATAAAAATATGCCAATTTTTAACCATGCAAACGTATTAGTATTGAATTAGGTTGCTGGTCAGTGATTCTATGGTTAGATAAGGGATGCAATTTTTAAGTAATTAAGAATTTCTGCAGTTATATTGATAAAAGGCTATATATGAATGGATAGCTGAGCATCAATTATCTCTGTTATAGATATGGTAATTATTATGAATACAAAACCCCAAACTATAAACTTTAAGCAAATGAGGCTTTTTATCAACAGATAAATTATCTGCAATCGGAGATTTAGAGCAAAAGTCATATTTCTGAAACGTGCATGTAATTATTCATAGACAAAAAGGGAAGAGTAAATAAAAATTTAAATGCGAAATATTCTGTGAACTGTCCTTCGACTTTTGCCATAAGCGTCTTATTTATTTGACCTAACCTTATGAATTTAATATGTCCACACAATGGAACAATGTATTATTTATACTTGATTGAAAAAATCATCTTAGTTCATTTAAGACGTAACGATAAAAAAAGGAGAAATATTTCTCAAAACTGATACATAAAACAAGAACTTACCTCTTCTAAACATTTAAGTATTGTGAATATTAAGATCGAATTGAGAAACCTTGGTTATTATTCCTGAATTAAATTTCATCAAAATATTGTATTGTTCTACGGGGGAATGAAATTTTTAATCAGATTATTCTTTGTAAAAAGTATTTGCTGTGATTCAATAAAAACATTATACAGCTAAATAACCCAACAGATTTGGGCATATGTTTTGACTTCTCATATATTGCCATGGTAACGCATAACCTATTGTGAGCGTTTAAATAAGCTTCTTAGTCATTTAAAAGACGCGCACACTTTGAATTCCTAAGGCTGCAAATACTGGCAATGGCTGGGTGCGATGCCTCTGATTTGGCAATAGGTATCAATGTCGATATTGAACGTACAGATGGTATGCAGAGTTTTTGAATATTCTGACTTTATTTGAAATGATTTTTTTCACCGTTTTTTAATTTTAAAGAAATTTAAAAAATGATTTTAGTTAAGTTTAGCGCAAGGTTGCTTAAAAGTAATACTTAAACTAAATATATTTTTTATTGGATAAATTTTTGGGATTTTCATTATTTCACATCTAATATTGTATTATTGGGTTTAACTCTGATCTCTTTATAGATTTTTAGCAGTTTCGATTTTTTTTTGACTTTTGCTGGCTTCTCTGATATTTCTACCTAATTTTATTTTTTCCTTATACGCCTCTATTATGTACCTTGAAGATAGTCCGATGATGACTACAAATATTAACATTTATTGCTTTGTTCATTTTCACCTGTTTAGCTCTTTACACAGTGACTCATTTCTATCCATACATGTGCTGATTTGGCCTATATTTTGGAAGAACTGAACTTCGTCCTTTTTCTTTTTTTCACTTATTTATAAGAGCCTTTTTTGTACCCTTATTTAAATCGTTGCATGTCATTTCGAACATACAATCTTACAATTAGGAGATCTTCCTGATGTATGAACATAATTTAAATACAAGGGAGTATATTCTTACAATGAAAATGGGCTTAATATTTTCGTACTATTTTTTTTCAGGTCGGATACATTCAGCAATTATCAGTGGCGTAAACCGTGACCGCAATGTCGTGACAGTTGAGTGGTATGAGCGAGGAGAGGCAAAAGGCAAAGAGGTGATTTATTTATTTCTCATAATTATTTTCTAGGTAGTATTTTGATTAAAGTTATATGTCGATGATGCGGCGATTGAATTACTTTTTGTTTTGTTTGTTGCCAGTTTAGTTGGCGTTTCAAATTGCCTTTTAGTGATGGTGCTTTTCCTCACATAGATTATTATTAGTGAAGTGCTTGGTCAAATCCACCAAATATTGTGGTGAAGACTAATGGTGATTTTATAGTTTAAAGAGATTTTGACCTAGAGTGAAGTATCGAGGAAGTCAATTTCCGTTCCTAGGTTTGTTCAATGCTTTCCAATGATTATGATTTATTTTGTATTCTGCTGTCTAATTACTTGAGTTGGTATAGTAATTGAGTTTATTGAGTCTGATTCATTAGGTATAATAATATTCGGTAAATCCAGTGACTCAAATTGCTTATCAACTTGGTTTATACCATAAAAAAGTTGTGGTTTTTCGTGAACACGCAGTATTTGTATGTGCCATACTTTTCGGTTAGATGATTCCCTAACCTTAATGTCTTGGAAGTAAGCTGGGGATCTATTCAATAGGGATTTGATCTTGGTCTTTTTCATTATGCAGCTCGATCCCTTGTTGGGTGGGTGGTGGTATGTCGAAATGTAGAGCGGAAGTTTTGGTAGATGACGCATTAATCAGTTTTATTCGTTTTTAAAAGGTTAGAAATGGGCATTTGAGTCAATGACATTCATTATGTATAAGTAAGAAAAATTCTCGAATCCGTAATTTTTATCGATCGTTAATTACGGAAATCGTAATCATCTAATGTCATAAATTCAAAACTGTGTTCGTACAAAACTTTATTAACCAAAGAAAGTGTTTTCTGTTAATAAAATAGCTGCCGTAGTATACACCCGATTGAAGGGTCGAATTTTGTTGGAGAATCATTGCAATAAATGCAATTGAATCACGATAGGGTACTTGCAAAAGAATGCGTTTCTTTCACGATGATTTTAACCGCTCCTATTAAGGTCCTTTAAGGTCAATACTGCGCCGTCTTCTAAATGAGACATTTATTTTGACGCAGTTAACATGGTATTATTAGCGGAACTGCTAAAATTTTCTCTTCTGTAGATCGATATGGCAGCAATTTTCAGACTCAATCCTTCACTTCGATCCCATGACGTAAGCACATTAATGCCTTTTTTTTCATTCACTCATGAAATGAGTAAACTCAGAGTGGTGTATGATGTGGCCATTGTATTCTTCTAATTAGTCCACTGCAGATAACGCTGCCTTACTCAAAGATCGATTAACGAATGAGACAGTTTTGACAAATCCTCCACAAAGAAAGGCAGTTCCTCAGGATAGTAGTGGTACCACCTCAGGCATCCCCTCAGCGCAAATTGGCACAGCTGCCACTCAGGTGTGCGGTCCTCGTCCTTACCGGCAAGGCGCTGCCTCCCGTCTGCCGGCTCCCTCGACACGAATCACCCGGGCTAGAGCTAATGCCGCCGGTTCGAGTAATCTTTTTAATCAGCAACAAGAAGAGTTGGATAGTCAACAACAGCAGTTAGGTACCGAGGATATCTGTGAGTTTTGAACAGGCTTATATATATATATATATCTCGAATGTCCTTAAGTGGTATTAACTCTGTAACTAAGAGCTCTGTTGTTTTGTTTCCTTGAATTCATGAATTTGATGTATTTATCAGCAATTAACCGGTTTTCTAATGAGTTTATATACATGTTAGCATCTGGTTGCAAATTTCAAGTGAATTTTTTGCTTACCTTTTATTATAGCTAAGTTCTAAACGGGTAAGTTTATACTTCTACTGTGATTGTGTGCTGATTTTTCCATTAGTGCCCTCATTCCTCTTCTCGTCACCGACGATCTGCCTATAATACCTCTCTAGTGTTTAGATTTCAATTTTACTACAGAATCAATGTTTTTGTATTTTACACTTTTTTGTCTGCTTTGTGCGTGTGTGCGTGGTGCGTGTATGTATGTGTATTTGTTAGTTACCTGTGCTCTACAACTAGATTCTAGTTTTCCGCCATTATGTATAAGGTCCTATGGCAGTGCAACACGAGGCCGACAATTTGGTTGTTATCAACCCCCTTACAAATGTAATTGGTCTCCCTAAAGTCTAATAGGTCAAGATTTGTATTGGACAAACGTGGTGGGATGGTGGTAAAAGGAAGAAAGGGATGGGAAGAAGTTTTCGTAATTGGAATGGAAAATACTTTAGTATTAAGTGATTTAGAGCTTATTGAGCCATGATTGAGGAATCTGTGAGGTTTCGCTTTTTTTTTCACGTGTTGACGATCAACAAATGAAAAATTACCTGACAATTTCAAGATGCAAAGATATGAATCAGTTCCAAGGGGAATCGTTTTTTTTGTTCGAGAAACTATTGACTTTGATTCCTACCCTGACTGCCTAATATCCTCAATCAGGCAATAATTCGATCTACTGAGTTGTGAACCAGTGGCGTCGCAGGCGGAACCGTTATTCTTTGACTCACATCAAGTGAACACACTAATCGTATCGGTTAATTTTGATTAAGGGTGAGACAGAATAATGTGTTTCTCAGGTAGATTACTCGAGCATGTTTCTTGAATTGAAGGCTAAAAAACTCTTCCCTTCAACTTCACTTATTTCAATTAAATTCTTAATAACTACGTAGAAATGCAATATTGGTCTTTGTTAGGTCAGTTGTGTTTGCTAGCTTTATTGTAATTACTTAACTAGAGAAGTGCCTTTCACAATCTCACACTCCCTTTATTCCCGGTTCGCTTCAATATTTGCGCTATAAACGTAATGACATTATTCGTCAGTGTCAGAAATATGCAATGATTTGTCATCATCATGGGATACTTTGCTCTTAGGCAGTAAAAATGGATCGTTCGATTCTAGCCTTAATGTCTTATGCAGAATGTGATTAGGTTCGAGCAATACCGCATTAAAATTCAGTAGCATTAAACTGCGTACTTTTTTTTCAATTGGTGCTAGTTTAAGATGATGTAGTGGTAAGATCGATCGTTAAGTCAATAAGTGCCAAATGCTGTTCTCAGTAATCTAGTGGAAAAAAAAATAATGGGGCATAAATTTTGGAACGTGAAGGTGGGAGCTACTCGTTTAATGCACAAATTGAGTCCGAACTTATTCTGGATGTCGACTCTTCTTTATTCCCTATTGAACTTTGCTGTTGCCCGATTTACATTTCTCTCCCATGAACAAGCATTTTTAGTTTTGCATTAGCACATGTATTCAAAATTTGGATGCTCACAGAATTCGTCATTATTATTAGTTGTATCCAAGGTCGTTTGTGCTTACGTAGATTCTCTGTTGGTCTGTTTAATTCTATCATTCACATCTCATTGGTTTTAGTCCTATGCGTCATATACGACCAGGCGTATTCTCATTGGCAAGCCTTCTTCATGCTCTTTCAATCTCTTGCAGACATCCTATTTTTAGCGCACACCTTTTACATACTCCTCGGCTTTATCAATCTCGTACAACTATAGCTAAGCAAAATGAGCGGATTCATCGATCATTAGAAAATCAAGTGAACCTTTATTATCGTGAGAATTTTTCCAGAGCTAAGACTTAATTAAAGCTAGTTTCACAGCCACTCTACCTTTCCTCTTTCGTCGTGTCATTATTTTACGTGATTTCTCATGACTTTCAAGGAGGCAGTTACTCAAACGGCGATTCAATATGCAGTAGACTGCTTGTTAATAAGTTCAGGGTACTTTTTCGACAGTGCCTTCTCGTCTCATTTCATGTCTATCAATGGTAACAAGGTTGAAGCCACACAGATTAAGGGTCACTAGTGTAGTAGTAGTAGACTTAGTGTTTGCGTCAGTACTATTTAAATTAATGTGGATAGAATCCTTCAGTCATTTTATCTCACAATTTACATAAATTAACTGTGCTGCATCCATGGCCTTTAAAATTTGATCTACTTCATCATAATAATTCATATCGAATGGCAGGCTTTATGGTAGTTATCATTAGCCCTTTGGTTGATTTTGGGCTTCACAGAGGGGGAAGGAACATTTATTTATTTATTTATATCAAATGGCAGGCGTCTTGATGGTTATCATTAGCCCATTAGTTGACTTCAGGCTTCACAGAGGGGAAGGAACATCAAATTGAAAAAGTCGAAGGGGGGGGGAAGAGAAGAGTGTTTCAAAGATGTAAAAGCAAACACAAAGGTAGAACAAAGGTGAGGTGAATACTGTGGAAGTAGTCGAATGTGGCATAGAGGGAGGTGATGGTAGTTTGAAGTGAGAATTCAACTGCCAGTTAATAGACTTTTTGCCGTATGAATATACGTTTCCCAGGGTGCGCCACGTGGAGGTA